CAATAATTTTGAACACTTACATACCCTTGAATTGTCATAGGAAATTTTTCAGGTAGGGACATTTTTTGTCATTAAGAATGGTAGAACGGATATTTCTAAAAGAAAATAGTGGCATTCTATTAGTACTTAAAAAACAATTAATGCATATTGAAGGTGATGTCACATACTATGCCGGTGATGTCATTGTCCACTATTCTGGACAAGTGTTATTGTTTCTATTAGAAATTTCTATTTTACCCTTGACTAATTAGTTAATACCCCTAGACAAAAAGTTACTACACTATAAGATAAGTGTATCAAGTGGTGTAGCCTAACAAAAACCAAAGAGAAATATTCTGAAAACAACATTAGAATCATACAAGTGCAGAAGAAAGAAATTAGCAAGGAAAACATGGACCAGAGAGTGTCGCAAGCAAAATCTCTCTCTCTCACTCTCCAGACAATGCACACAACAAAAACCATAAACATAAGCAGCAGGTTTAAAAAGGAAGCATCCGCATCATGGTAGGTCTCATTTCACAACAAGACCTCATCATCTGCTCCTTTAAAAACCCATAGTAAAACTTATTAGGAAGAGCTAAGCTGGTAAAGAAACTAGAGGAATATTATTTAACTATTAAACCATTGGAGGGCACGCAAGTCAAGTCAAAGAAAAGGAACAATATACATACACCATATATTTATTTTTGTGACATGAAAGGCGAATCCAACATAAATTCCTGATGACCAATGAGGGAGATTTAACATACGAGGTCCAAGTCTCTGTCTACAGAAAACCAAGGTTAATTTCGACCTGCCCATCGGAAACAGACAGTGGATTGCCGATTCATATACCATGCATGGTACAAAACGAGATGACTAGTGTACTTACCCTAAGACTGCAGATATGTAATTATCCTAAGAATATAGTTATGGAAGAACTTAACCTTCCCTAATTTCCATAGCCCTGAGAAGTTATAGAAATTATAGAATAAACGAAGTAACAACAAATAAAGTCAAATTGGCTCAGATGCAAAGGGTGTTTATCAGCACTCAATATTCAGAGTGGTGCACGAAAAATTTCATCATCATCGCCTCATCGATGCCAACACCAAAAAAAGGAATATCAATGAACAATATAACCAGCGAAGAAATTACTTCTCTTCTTGCCTAACTAAACTCATTGGCAATGAATCATTGATAGGCAGTGAACCACAGTTTGGCTCAGATAGTAAAGTGAGCTATCAGCACTGTTTATTCAGAGTGGTGCATGACAAAACTTCCTCTTCACAGCCTCTCCAAAAGGAAAATATTTGTTTTGTGCCAATCACAAAAGGCAGCAAAAACATAAAATGGGTGTTTACATAGAGCACAGGAGACTAGAATATAAAATGTCATTACATAAATAAAGCTTATCCAGTACCATGTGCAAAAAAGAATGAAATAACTTGGTGGAAATTTTATGGAAGCAGTGGCAATGAGCTCAAAAGTTCAGTTAAAATGCCTGATGGTCCAATCAAATGTCCAGGATGTTACAAGAGCAAAGATTTTCTAGGCTCAACAAAAAACCACGATGTTCCCAAAGTTTAAAGGTTTAGGTAGGGTGAGACATCGCAGCTAGAGAAGTGCACCAGAAACCAGGCCTGATACCGACAGCCTATCTAACAACACATGCATGGAACATGAAAAAATTAGACTAAACACATCAAAAGCTAATAAATTTAAAGATATAATCACATCCGAAGCCAAAGTAACAAATTTCAAAATCTATAAAGGGCCAAAGAGCACATGACCTTGATTACACTTTGACATGTATTGTACTGTTGCTATTTTCAAAAAAAGCGTATTTGACATAACTTGGAACTCCCTCCCCGCAACTCAAGTTGTCTCCAATTCAGATGAACTCAACAATGACAATTCCAGGTCTCCATCCTAATTTTAGGTGTCATGTCAGGTGGCCACACGAGCAATTAAAACAAGCAATGTAAGATGCATATATTTCCATCAGATGGGTGGAGGGCATAAATATAATAACATTAAGTAATGTTATTGTTGAGTTCTCAATGGAATTTTATAACGCAGAAGTACCGGTGCCTTTCAGCACTAAAGACTTCAAAATTAATATTTAAAATTCTTGATGTTGTCTAGAGTGACGCATTTTAGGCACATCACAGCCCATCATTTTTGGAAGCAAGACCTCATCATGTAGTTAGTATTCTACTCATAAATTTAAAAAAGTAAAACACAATCTAGAAAAAATCTGATGAAAAAGAAAAAATCAGCAGTTGCTAATTTTTCCCACAGCATAATATACTTTATGGTCCGCATCATGGCTATCCTTGTTTAGCAACAAGATCTCAACATCCTGTTCTTCTTTAACCAAATTTACAATGAAAGAAATAAAGACTAGACAGAATTTGAAGGAAAGAAAAGCCCAATCAATTAAAAGGACTTGTAGTAAATAGATTTCAAAAGCATCAATAAGTGGACTGATGTCAAAATCAAAGTATGCCAGTACCAATCTTGCTGAGACCATCAGTCAGCATTTTTTAATTACATAAATCCATTCCTGGTATGATTGCCCAAAATACTGATAGATCCTGATCATCCAAAATAACTGATTATTTCTTAGGAATATACGTAAGTGCAAAACAAGATCAACAAAATTGTTGAAAAAGGAAACTGCACTCAAATAAGAAGTCATATAGATTATTTCCATGGGAACGCACTCTATACTTATGCCATTGGGCAAGAGACCTAATTAGGGAAATTTTATCAATTCAAAATTTTGCGATCCACTTTGTAATCACCAGATGAAAATTTTGAAGGAAAAAAAATTAGATTTTTAAGTTTCTAGCATTTAGTTGGAACATCTGATCCTCCAAAAGTTGGAAGGTCTCCATTCAAAATATATGTCGCAGAACCATATAATCTTTTGGCTTCAAAGTAACCTTTTAATGTTAACACAAATGCAAGAAAAAGCAAGCAAGCAAGCTTAAGGAAATATGCTTCAAGTAAACTTAAGGAAATGAGAGAGAGAGAGAGGGAGAAAGGAGTTTTCTCAATGAAATATCTAAATCACAGAGTTTTCTAGGACAAACAATACAAGCAAATATCATTTACAAGCCAATCCAACACTCGTTAAGAATCATGATACATTACAAACGGCAAAAAAACTTGCAGCATTCTTATGGTTCATAGACAGGACAGCGATGCACACCGGTGCGCGGATAAGTAATACACAACAAAAACACAGTCTCAACAATTACCAATTAAAAACAAGAATATCCAACAACATCAATCCCCACATCATCAGGAGGAAATAAATAAATATGTTGATATTTTGGGAGGAAAAACAATTACAATCAGTTTCGTCAAATAAGCAGTCTCTGTTTATGCATTTTTGGAAGTAGATTGCGCCTTCACCAGGCATTCACTGAACCTTAAATACATGTGTGAAGCGCACATCCCCTTGTCTTTTTGACATTATAAACTATTTGCTAAATAGTGCAAGACACTTTTCTTTGATAAACAGTGTCAGAAATTTTTACCTATGCATATAAACAGCGTCGAGGCATTAGGGGGCTGTAACTGGGACACATATCAGCAAGCATATCAACATAGATTTTTCTGGATGCTTCTTCTTGTTCATTAAACATTTCTTAAATCATTTTATATTTTTTTCAGTCTTTTTTGCGTAGGCACATGAACTTTGAAGCTATCTAGAAAATTTTGAAATATCCATGTCAAGCTAATTGACATATAATTGATTCTCTCTTGCTATTCAACATGAAATGTAGTATTAGTAAAACATTGTCGAAGTTGGTTGTCTCCTCATGACAAGATACGTCGCCAAATTCACATTTTCTTGGATGACGAATATGACACCTGTACCCCTGAAACATATAACTGTATTCATGTAGAATAGCGAGATGCTTCCCATTTCTTTTCCTTAAAAGGAGAGAACACAGTCGAAAACTAATGGCTTTTTCTTTACTAACCACTTTGTCTATTGATATAAGGCCATTCAAAAAGGTCAAAAAAATGAAGAATGAAGAAACATTAGGCGATCACATTACAGTTTTTAAATCTCTTACAAAGGGGGTTAAGCCAAAACCCAAAAATATTGAAATAGCCTCTAAAGCCCATTTATGGAATATTGAAATAGCTACATGATGGATAATCCACCATGTAGCCTTCATACACACATGTTTGCAGCATCTATAATAATTACAATAGGGTGCGGTTTGTATAGAGCCTAGGCTCTAAACAATCAAATTCGAGCCTACCTTAAATATTATCGAGAAATGTGGTTTCAATACTAGAAATCTTTGTGATAGCCTTAAAATATATTTTCATCTTTATATATAAAGTTTAAGCTTCAAAAATAGTGTAGATCGACATATCTATGAAAACTTGAAAATCTTGAAAATTGACAATCCAAAAATGTTTTACAAAATACACTATTTCCAAAACTAAAAATCCATTTTTTTCTCATGTCCATACATCTTGATGTAGAGAAGATCAATTAGAGAATATTTGGGTATCAAAACAACCTCTTCTAGTGAAATTTTTGTGGTAGGCTCCAATTCGATTGTTTAAAGCCTCAGCTCCTTATAAAATTTTTCCATTACAATATCACCTACTTGGAATGGTATTACCAGTTCGGAACTAGATGCTTCCCATGATCTCTTCAAGTTTATTTATCTCAAGACTACCACCTGCTCTCCGACAGATTCATCTGGTAAATAAATACAGGCAGGCACACAAGTGATCCAAGAAAAATGATAGCTTGCCATTGCTTCTCAAAATTTTCAGATGGCTACTCCTCCATGATATACTAGAATTCAGCTTCCATCATATTATGTGCAATATTCACAAGAGAATAGTTGAATAAAATCTTAAATTAATAACAAGACAAAAATAGAAGAAGGAAAATAATATGTACATAAAGAAATCCAACCAAATATAGAAGGACCCCTAATGTATAGCTGGAAGAAACATTGCCTGAATTCACCATCAAAATGAAAGATTTGAAAAAGAGATCTATTATTGAAAATTGGAACCACAGTGTTCTAAATTTGTAATGAGACAACAGTGTACTTTTAACTTCTATAGTTTGGGAATGATGAGATAAAATGTGCATCATCCCTTCTTCTTGCATTAACAAAGTAGTTTCTATATACAGATTTTACTCCAAATCTGCAGCCAGTAAGGACCAAAATACCTGTTTCACTAGAATGACAAGCGAACACTGGATTAACTCGAATGAGGCACTAGAATCCATGTTGATCAGCTTGTATCTTAGTGGTTAGATAAACCCAGGCTTTCCTTCTCTCCGGGAGTCCAAAAATATATGTACCGCTATCAATGTCAGCCAAATATATGTACCGGTAAGTGGAATCAGTGTCAGCAAAATTAGGACCTAGGAAAATATAAACAATCAGCAAATAACCAAGAGAAATACAGGTGACAAAATGAGCGAAGTCTAGAATGTAAAAGTTGCTATGTTAAACATTGACTTCAAAAAAGGATAAAGAAAATGGAACCCAACATCCCCAGTAGTTTGCTTGATTTCCCAAGCTTTTTGGTAAAAATTGTCATAGTGCTCTATCATTGCAATTCTATAAAGATTACACTCATTAATGTTTTTGGGTTCATTTTACAGCCAGCATTGGCTTCTCTAGGAAAGCAAAAACAACCAAGTGCTTCTGTTGGTTCAGGGAAAGACTTCGCGTTCTTTTAATTAGAAACAAAACAATGCAAAATTTCTAGAAAACTAAGACAATAACTCAAGAATGGCTTAAGATTTGTCAAAAAAATATAATCATTCGCACATGGATTTATATAAGTGATAAAAAATACCAAGAAAAACAAAGATCAAAACAAGACCAAAGCATTAATTCAACTTAAAAATAACAACAATGAAAAATATTTTCATGCCAAGGCTCCATTGGCAATGAAAACAATGGCAATAGCAATGCAGCACTATTGGGCCCCTACAATAAAAACAAGCTGTCATGACCCTTTCCAAAAAATAATGTAAAAATATGATGATTTGGTATGGGGGACTCCCAAACCCCAGCTTTGACACCAAAGAAAAATAAGGTATTAACTCCTCAAACGTTGTTTTTCTGTGTATGCAAACACAATAAAATTTCAAATTACGGGTTATCAATATTGTAGACTCTACAATTTATTTGTTATCTATATGATGAAATTGATTTACAAGCCATAAAAATGAGAGTAATTGACCCTTTGCATAAAAGAGGATATATCCCTCTTTATATTTCCTTTATATTACCTTGGGGCAACTGGCAAAACCGGCCGCAGAGAAAAAAGGTCAATAAATTTCAAAACAGCTGGCTTTAACCAACACGTACCCTCAACAAATGTACAGTAAAGTTAAGATTTAAGAGACTCTCTTTGCTTTGGCCAAGAAACATAAGCAAAGCTAAACTGAACCCCATTTCCCCAAACATGCCGAATTTCAACAGCCCAATTGTTGTCCTGTATCACAGCCTCGGAAGTATGTTTCTAGTCCAACCCACTAACGTCATGGAAGATCAGAATGTTCCAAGTCAATTAACATGAAAGAGAAGAACATACATTTAAAACAAACCAACACAGGCCTCTTTCCTTTTTCAGCCAAATACACCCAAAAAATGGACAGTAAAGTTAAGATTTAAGAGATTGTCTTTGCTTTCGCCAAGAAACATAAGCAAAGCAAAACAGAACCCCATTTCCCCAAACATGCCGAATTTCGACAGCCCAATTATTGTCCTGTATCACCTCCTCGGAAGTATGTTTCTAGCCCCATCCACTAACGTAATGGAAGATCAGAATGTTCTAAGTCAATTAACATGAAAGAGAAGAACATGTATTTAAAACAAATAAGCATCTCCTCAGTGCATAAAAAGAAGATCACACCTAAGTTATTCAAACCCATCCAACAAACTCGAAGCAGAATTTACGCACCGCCAATATTGAAATGGTAATAGAAGAACGAAAACAAGACTAGTAGGGATTAAAGAGAATATACCAAGTAAGAGTTGTTAGCCAACAATATTGACGGTGACCTTCATGCTGCACAACATGATTTTGTACAGTATATAAAACACTAGTCTTTAGAGGTCCATCTGTTGCCCTGTACCTTGTAAGTCATATAACTATCATGTCTATTTGATTGACATGCCCCAGATCCTACATGGTGGTACCTCTTTCCAACATCCAAACCACTATCACTAATGCTCCCTTCCAGATATTGATCAGTGATTCCTGAAAACTCATTCCTCCAAGGATGCATGGGAATGATATAACTATCATCCATGGAGGTTCTCTTCCGCTTCCCCTGCTGCTTGATGTTTTCAGATATCTGGTGAAACGTTTCATTAATTTTGACAAGCCCCCGCTCCACCGGTTCTACTGCATGTGAAACTGTAAACTTCACATCATTAACCATCTGCAAGCAACGGAAGTGGATAGAAGGGCTGTTAAGGAACACAAAAACAACATGTTTAACTATCTAAAACATACAGGCATAGCCAATATAGGCATATAACCACACAAAGAACTTACAATTTCCCCACTTCCTAAGACCACATCGCAAACACTTTGCCGAAAACTCATTCGCTTTTCTTGGTCATCAGGTTGAGCAAATCGTGACCTTGTGGACCTCTCGCTGTCTCTGACCTCTTCTGGGTCCAAAGGGGCTTCTAAGGAGGCATAGTCTGCCATAACAGAAACATTTCGAAAGCACCTTTCACCTCGTGCATAGGGTTTTGCAGTAAAAACACGAAGGTGCACAATAGCTGCAACAGCCATCTGTTAAAGGATATGCTTAGAGTATATTATTTTTTATGATGAGACATATACAACAATTTTCTTCAGTGAAGCAGATCAACATGGTTGTTTGACCAGCAAACCAAAACAATATAATCTTTTTCAATGTTGAACCAAAATAATCACTCAGCACCCAAGAGTCCCAGTAACCTCTGTTTCGCATTCATCAACAAAATACTTGCAAAAGAAAAAAAGAACCTCCAGTGACAAACATGGCAATTAATATGCTACAGATATAACATAAAACGAATTGGTTGTTTAGGCAGTTACCTCAATACAGATGATGTAGTCCTGGATGCGTGTTTTCAGTTTTTGAGCCAATGAACCTCTAAAGGCACCAATAGAGAATAGAAATGCTATTACAATGCCTTGCCACCATGTTAAAAATACAATGGACTTGAACACCAGAAACTTCGCCAATGGTTTAATGGGCTCCAATTTATCCTTTGTGACAGAGTAGAATTGTATGAGGCAATACAACGCCCAGGTCTGACTAAAATTTAGGACAACTGCAAGGTAAGGATAACTGCAGAAGTACTTGCAAAGTCAATCATAAACCCAATTATTGCCACAGAAAGCAGCCATTGGCGCAATTATGCAAGTGAACCATCTTAAAGTGAAAAGTCTCATAACAAGAATGAAGCATAAAATAAACTTATGCAAATCGATACCACACAAGCAAGAAAACAAGATCCTAAGTAACTAACAGATAAAGGGTTCACATACCCGTAGTTCCACTCAAATTTTCCCTCTCCATAGATCCCAAAGTGTTCAAAAATAAGTGCTAAAAATGCACAGTTCATCTTCAATATCATCTGACAAGAAAAGACAATCCAGTCAAGAAATAAATGCAACACAAATAGATAAGAAATATAATTGGAAGGATATATACAAAATATAATACATATAAACATGTATACTACAAAACAAGATGCCCATGTTGGTGTCTGTCATAGACACATGATGTCAGACAACAGCACAGAAAATGTTGTGTCAAACAGAACACTGCCCTACAACATGGATGAGTAGACAAGATGACCATCTTAGTAAAATTATGCGTTGGTATGCTATGATACTTGTATCATAGTGAGCTTGTAACTGTTCTGTTGTCCACAAGTAACATCAGCCCTCAGTTACCAACAATAAATAGAAGATTTGAATCCTTCCCCTGCTCAAGTAAACACTAACAAACCTGAGCACTGGAAAGATTCACATAAGCAGATTTGGCAAAAACAGATGGATGAGTTTACTCGTAGAGTGCTGAAATATATGCTATGAGTATCATGTTCTTTAATACATATAAAATTATTTGTACATAAAATTACGACAGAGTTATGTTTTGTTTGGGACTGGTATTTGCTATTGGGGGTAATGGGTAGCATCAGTGTGTGATTATGCGTTGCACGGTAGGAAAAAAGAGGTCCACAGTAATTTTCAAAGAGAATGCACAACACTGGTTACTAGCAGCACTGTGCATCACATCAAGAACAGGATCATGCATTCAAACCATCTAGTGTTGACTGCCACCACCATTGCGTGGATTAGGCACCAGAATCCATTCCAGAAGTGTTCCCAAAACCAGCATTAGGTGAGTGAGACCAAGCTTTAGACGTGTGTGCAGAGTTTGGACACAAGTGAGAATGGCCGACACATCATGCCAGCATGCCTAACACAGAAAAGTTCGATGCATGCCTGGCAATACTTCAAGTGGCGACACTTGCATCAACATGTGTACATGTCGGTCAGTCACTCTTGAAACATTTCAGACACATGCATTTGTCACATAATATATGTACGTCCGAAATAAGAAAAAGAGCTGTCATACATATTGAACAATGCCGATTTTAACAGATTCATAGAAATCGGGACCAAGATGCCATTGCTTCAGCAACCAGTTCAATGGAAATGGATGCTTTACAACTCCTTCACTGAATGATTCTTCTAGCAAAGGTGCTCTGCATGTCATTCTGGAATAACTCTCCATAAGCTTGACCGTACAGTCCTCACCACCTTAAACATAGAATACTTACAATCAGCAGAGGCCAAGTAATGCATGTCAAATTAAGACGAAGCATTCATACAAGATCCCAAGTAAGCCACATGACATTACTCAAAGACTTGAAAAAAATCAAACTCCACATGTGGAGAGAAACTAACTCAGTGAAAAGTAAGTTTCATATACATATCATGACTTCCACTACATTACAGTTGTATGATAAGCATTCTAAATTCAAAATTTCATAATGACCCATCAAACCCACTTCTACTTCCAAGTATAGGAGAGATGAAAAATGCAATCAGTTCAAAACCACTTAGGCATATCTTATCAAATCTGGGAACAAGACCCCACCAAGTATGTTATCATAAATGCATTCATCCAGACTATACATCTAGGTAAATTGATTTTTAGTGGTCTTGCTAAATAAGGCATGGTAACAACTGAAGCAAAACTAGAACTAACAGTTCAATCAACACATCTCTTGCATGCCTTCACAGATTCCAAAATTACAGTTCAAACCATTTTGACACAGGTGATGGAAGTAACAGGATACAGTGACTACTACCGAAAAGGATAATAATGATATGGCCGAATAGGCATGAACAAGAACAGAAACATACCTAAACATGCAATCAGATATCTCTTAAAGCAATACAAAGCAAAAGCCTCATAGCATTCCCGCATAATTTGACAGTTGAATGCAGCCTTCGGATCCAACAGAGAGAAGAACTATCACCAAAGAGAAAATCCAAATAAGAAAGGAATCAATTTAGAATACATATCCGTGTGTGTGTCTGTGGTAAGCAAATTGCACCCATTTGTTACACTGAAGCATGTCCAGTTCAGGTAACCTGCACTAGAATTCTTACACGTGTAGTGAAACACTCATGGTCTTTTGCATGACTGACTCCATTTCCAAGAAAAGAGCTAAGTTTAATCTATTATCTTCAATAGGCAGTAACAGAATTTTTAATGCGATACAAAAATAAAAAAAGTAATGAAGGAAAGCAACAAGCAAAGTATTAACATTAAAACTAGATTTACCTACCGATTCTGTCGCATAAAATGGAACCATCAGTATGATCCCGATCAAGAACTTTTGCTCCTGGAAATACAACACCCACAATACTTGAAAAAGCCAAGGACAACGCAGATATAATCAAGAAGCCTTTGTCATGATACCAAGACAAAAATGACCATGCACACAAAAATTAATATTTGAAAAAAATTATCAAAATGCACAAGATGCCACATTGTGGGAAACACAGAAAGGCTGAGTACTTAATATGAACATTAATAAAATCAGAACAGGAGTATTACCTCAGGTTGATTATATACAGTCAAGTGTTCGATAATCAGAAACAGGGAGAGAACAAGAGCAATGAGTACAGATATTCCAGAAGTCATAATTGGCCAGCCCTGTAACAATTTTATCTCTCCACCCAATTTAAATGCCCAAACATCCCACATGTTCTGTGAAGATTCTGCCATCATGAGAGAAATTATCCCCCGTGCCATGGGAAAGAACTAAGCACTGAATTACATTAATCACTCTGGATAACAAACGCATGAGGAATTGTCCATCAGAAAATCCAACCACTCCATATTATAGCTTTGACAAATAAGTGCCGAACTCACTAGAGCAAACAACAAGGAATGAATTAATAATGAAGATTTGCAAATCAGAGAAGTTCAAATATTTATAAAAGTTAGAAATAGGGCTACCTTTCATGGACCACATGGAGAATTGGATATATCTATTGACTAGTATTTTAGCTCATAGAGTCAACCAGATAGAGATAAAAATGCATACAATGATCCTCTATACATTCTAAAGATTCCGCTAGAATATGGTTTAATCCAAAACTAGCTGAACTTCAGAAGATAAAAGCAGGAACATGTAAAGCTGCATGAGCAAGATAAAAGCAGCATGTCAATAAATAACCGGTAACATATCAACCATGAGTGATTTCCCACAATAGAATAAAACAGCATTGTACCAACTATTGTTATGACGATCAGACAGCTACCGAAATGGTAAAGGGTTTGGTTCAATCAAAACTAGTCCAACCACTAGTCAAATAGGTTGGACCAGATTTAAAAAAAAGGGAAAGAAATATATATATATATATATATATATATATATACTAGTTTAAAAATAAAATAAAATGTACTAAGATCTTTTCCGAACTTCATTTAGCTGGTCAAACCATTTGAGACATTTAAGACTAGCTAGTCCAAACGGCCAAAACGGGTCAAACATTAGTTTTGACTAGTTGTTTACCAAACTAGACTTTTAGACCAAACCAACAAAGGCACCTAGCAGCGGTCCAACTGGCTTGATGACTATGGTATCAACTATCACATACCATCTACAAACAAATATCTTTTCTACATGTATTAAGATACAGTTAAGGGTATGGACGTGCCATTCAGATTGAGTGGGACATTATGGAGATCGAGTGCGAACTAAAGGGGTTTGGTCCAATCAAAACTAGTCCAACCACTGGTCAAACAGGTTGGACAGGATTTTCAAGAAAGGAAAGAAATATAGATGTAATAGTTTAACAAAATAAAGCAAATCAAAAAATTTGCCAAACTTCATTTAGCAAGCCAAACTAGTCAAAACCAACTAGTCCAACAGGCCAAAACCAGCTAATCCAACAGGCCAAAACCAACTAATCCAACAGGCCAAAACCGGTCAAACATTAATTTTGATTGTTTTTTACCGAACCTAGTTTTTAACTTCAACCAAACCTTTTCAAGGCACTAGTTAGTGATCCGACTGGTCAGACCACGAGCTTGGTATCTATGGTATCAACTATCACATACAATCTACAAACAATATCTCTTCTACATATACCAAGCCACAGTTAAGGGTACGGACATGTGGCATTTAAATTGAGCCGGACCTTATGGAAATAGACTTTAAGGTAGGGTACCTATTGAGAGGGACACTATAAATTGGAGTGTAGGGTAACCAATTTCCTATTTTGAGTTCAATCTCTATCTATTCCTATAATAAACCTTTATTGGTAATTTGATTGGAATTATATAATAGGAGATCTAGTTTTTCTTGAAAAGGAAATCTAATTGGAGAAGGAAACTTGGCCTTTACCAAATACTTATAGTCATCCATGACTAAATATTTTCTTCTATAGTAATTTAATTTGAAATATATAGTCATCCATGAGTAATATTTTCTTCAATAGTAATTTAATTTGAAATATACGATAAGATTTCTAATTGGAAAAAGAGACTGTCCACTTAGTAAATATTTTATCTTTATCCAAACTTACGAGTAAATATTTTGGATGTACGTACATAAAGACATTCTCCCCTGCTTTTAGGATTATAAACTTTATTGAAAACATGATTCCTAATCCCCAGTTTTAGGGATTTTTCATTTTTGACTTTTAAATCGTTTTTACGATCCTGATATTCTGACAATAACAGAAATGTGCATAGCACATGCCTCGTGCATGTAAAGTTCAAACTGAAAAAGAACCACCTAACCAAATAATTTTCAGCAGTACATCTGAATATAAAAGCATTTAAATCTTAAATCAGACAATAAAATGATTTAACCTATGGAACAATGATATCACATGTATGATACCACACAGTATGTCTAAGATGCATGCTACATGCATTTACAAATAATGCAGACATAATGATGTTCTTGCGTTTACTGTACATACAAATAATAATGAATTATAAAAATTCTAAATACAAAAATACAATGGTGTATTATATGAATCGCAAACATAAAAATTATAGATACTCAATACCACATTCTACCACATCCCCGTTTTCCTTCTTTTATCAAGCACCCCTTTCTAAGAGTAAAGGACTACTCGTATATTTCATGACCTCAATGCAAACCCTGAACCTTCACTGTAATTCCCCTTTCTGCAGGCTGCAGCTTTAGATATATTGCCAAGACAATATCACTGTTTCTCAAAAACAATACCCAAAGTCCCAAACAGTAGCTGAATAGCTAAATCCCTTTTATATACTAAATATAAGAACCCAATAGGTGTTCAGTTCCATCTCCAATATAAAAGGCCTAAATAGCCCACTGGCCTTCCCCTTTTAATGCCTAAAGATATGAACCATATGAATGTGCAATGAAAAAAAGTAATTAGGGCATGCCATACCACACCCCTAAAAATGCAAATAAGAAACCAATCCAAAAGATCTGTGCGTCAATAATGTAACGGACCTCATTCTAAAAAGAGGAAAAAAAAAAACATTCTATATAACAAAAATGCAGTATAAAACAAGCATCTTCTAACCTTCTTCAGAGCTCATTCCAACATCAAAGTTGAAAATATAAATAACATAGTATCACACAGAACAATAGCATTTCTTCGTAACTTATCAGAGTTAGTCTCATTTCACAACAAGAAGCTATTTGAGTAACCCAATGGTAGACCCACTCATATCACAAGATTTGACTAATTATCGCCAATATAGAATGAAATGATTACCTTTGCTTAAATTTCCGCACATTTTCCATAAAAAACTTCCAAACACCAAAAAAAAATCACATTGAAAATATCAAATTCAGAACTATGCCCTATACAATAAGAAAGAAGAAAGCACCACCAGTCATTCAACAAGAGACATTGCTCCCTAGAAACAATTGAAATCAATCAAACTACGATGAAAATATATACAAGGAAGAAGAATAGAAAAAGGTATATCCTTTTTGCCAATTTGTAACCCAAACCCTAGTTTTACACCCGCACAATTGCAGCGACGAAATCCTAACCCTGGTTTTCTACCCGCATTGTTCAATACACGGTAAGAAAAATAATGTGCAGCAATAGAGGTCTCAGAAGCCTATCCTTATAGTTCATTTACCTGAAGTTTACAAAGTGAATCACGAAGAAGAAGAGAGGAAAAATTGCATTATTTGCGTAGAAATGGGGTTGTTATGGAAACCCTAACCCTAACTATTCAGTTATATAGGCGTGCCACGGTAGCGCGTGATCCGACGTGGCATCCCACGTCATGGTCGCTTTCGAGTTTAGTGGGCGCATTTTCTTGATGAAATTCCAGAAATGTCCTCAGCTCAAGGCTATGCTCGAAGGACCTCAAAAATCAAAATGCGTTATTTTTCTCCATTTGAGCTCAAAATCCAGTATTTTCATTTTTTTATTTTAGTCATTTTATTTTTTATTTATTTTCTATATTCTCTCAATCGGATCGTCGATCCACCAGTCCAAACTCCATACTGGTTTTGGGTATCGACAATCCAGTCACTAAACCATAAGCATTGGCTTGTGAGCAACTTTTACCGGGGCGCAACAAAATGCTCTCGGTTTCTTTTGGATTGTATTTATTTTCTAGCAACATTATATGGAAAATTTTTTTGTGAGTTTGCAAACCTAGTTGTGGGAAATGGGTTAGGTCGACCAATGGACTTGGTAGGTCAAACCCATTACTTCCTGGGTTTGGATCCAGGCAAAGACTAAACAAGACGGGTCTTGGTCCACTTGACCTTTAGTGTTGGGGTGAGCTTGACCTTATCCAACCTCACACATGTAATATATATCACACATATAAATAATAATAATTATTATTATATATAGCATAAAATATATGCAACAATTTGTATCTATTTTTATCTGTAGACTTGAACACACAGTAGACTTGAACGCAAGGTGGGTTGGATCCAGGTCCAATTGACTTGGGCCCAACCCTGGTCTGAGTCTAATGCCTTGGAAGATGCAGTTCATGGCTTGGTTAGGAGGTTCTTATTTGAGCATGAAGACACGAGTTCCATTCTTGTTTAGGAGAGAGAAACCGTGATGATTTCGTGAAAGAAAGTTTCATGCTGGTTATGGAGTTTGATGACCCTCAAATGGATTTTAGGGTTTCCATGGAGCAGATGGGCAGGCGCATGGGATAAAAGATTAGTCTTGTTTGGAGGAGCTTTTATAGTCTTCACATTTTGATATGACCTCTTCGTTTACTTATTAATTTCTTTTTATTCAGTCTTGATTTTCTATTAAATGTCCTGATTTCGGGTATAATATGTCAAAACTTTCTTTCATTTATTTTTTTGGTAGGTCTATTTTTCTTGTTCTTGAAAGTCTGATGGGAAAGAAATATCTATATATCTGTAATGGGTGAGGTTTGTGAGGTTTGTATAAGGTGTCAACCTTAAACTATCATGATAAGGTGCACCTCAAAATCTCATTAAAAGGTGTATCTTCGGTACCAAAACTCTTATCATGACCTAAAAGTCTATTTTTCACTCTTAAAATGAAATTGAAAGGAACGTAAATGATGCAAATATACAAGCACTTGAAAATGAACGGTCTAGATAATGTATTATAAGATGAACTAATGTTAGGACTTGAAATTCAAAGTTTATTTCATATCCACATATATCGAGGTCAAGATGATCAATTGTATAATTTTCTAGTGGAAAAACAACCTTTGTAAATGGTTTTTTGAGGTGCACCTTACTTCTACAGTATAAAGTTGACAATTATATAAACTTTTTCTATCTATAATTCTACGTTGATCTATAAAATGAAGGAGACGCCCTAATTGTTTGTTATTGCCATGCTAACAAAATGTATGGTAAACGAATAAATGGATGTAATAGATAACAAACACTCATACATAAGATAGGTTCTCAGTGTTTATGTTTCTTAGTAAAATAATTACAAATTATAATGCAATACTATTATTTTAAAAAAAATTCTAAAAAATTAGATTTTTAAGAAATTATAGTGCTTTTTAAAAAAAAATTAATTCAAGATCTTGCCGATCCGGCTAATTCTCCGATCCAACTCACCAATCCACCGATCTGATACGGTTTTTGGGATGGCCAATCCGAGACATCGATCTGGTTTTTTAAACCTTGGTCTCGACTTAAGAATGTGCAAGTTATACTCCCAAGGGTGCATGCCGCGTACTTATTTCCTTGGGCAAACAACTTACTTGGGAGGAATTTTTTTTATCAAAATAGTTTTCAATCCACCAAAAATTGTCAGATCATTATTTTTTAAAACACTTTAGATTTTCAATTTTTGAATATTCTCTTCTTCTTTTTTTTAATATTCACTTGTTAAGTTTTTCAAGCTCTCATGCTCAAAAAATTAAATGATCTCAGTTCAATGCTGGAACATTATTTTTATCAAGCACATGGAAAGTACATTAAAAAAAAAAGAGGGAGAAGTTTGAGATTGTATGATCTCTGTTCAATATTAGAAGCACATAGATATTACACGACAGTAAAAGGAGTGGCCATTTTGTACATAAAAAGCCAAAGGTTAGGACCATTGCCATCTCACCACTCCCGAGGCCTTGCGTAGGAGGGACCAGCACCGGGTTACAGCATGTTTAGATAGAGATTACATTGGGAATAAAAAGAATGATGTTATATCACCAAACATAAAAGCAATCCAAAATTAAGATTTAACCTAGGAAATTGGAGCATGGATCCTCTTGACCTCAGAGAATTCTCTCTATCTCTCTGAAGACTAAACAAAAATTTCAAATTGGGGAAATATCTCCATACTGTTGGGTTTATGTGGCCTTTAAAGGCCTTATGAGTACTTGTAAAAATGAAATGATATAGTGGAACATGAACTCAGTGAGAGTGTAGTACATCGTAGATCATCCTAAGCAAACGATGTTTGTTGATATCGGATTTTGCTTGACAATTTAGGCTAGTCGGTTGGGAAAAACCCACTTACTTGAGCATAAAGAACAAACCGAGAAGGGTTTTAATGGGTTAGCCCTTGATGAGGTTGGAGAATATGTTCGGATGATTGAGTTGAGGGACTATGTGACATTGTGTGTGATGATGGCCTACAGAGACGGGGGCCAAAACCTCATCCATGTGCCATCACACGGCATACATATCGATAGATCGTACGGGAAAGCTTGAAATCCACCTTTTAGGGTGAAGCGTATGCATGTGCGAGAGATACCCCTACGCATCATAAGAGTTGTGGTCGCATCAAGTCTTGGTGAACTTGACTCGTCTTTAGAGGATGACCTGAAATCTACAGACTGGAATTGCGACCCCTTGGCTTATTGCCCGGACTTTAGTGACCTGCTAATGAGCCCATACTTGGACTATAGGTCATGGGAAACACTGGGTCGGTCTAATAAAAGTAAGTGTCGTCTGTAGTTCACAGTTGAAGTTGGAGTGCCCCATGATTGTTGATTTCTAAACCATATGGATCATTTTCCCATCAAATTAATTTAATTGTATTTGTTTTATGATGAGAATTATTTTAGGATTATTATTTAAATTTTTATGAATCCGTGGATATTTTATTTATAATTTTTGGATTTATAAAATTAAAGATATTGATTTTACAATTGTTTAAATATTCAAATAATATTTTAAAATCTTTTTATTAACTTTAAATATATAAAAATATCATGGGGGACCATTGTGCACATGAGCCCACCATATTTCTAGAAGGTGGATCCATGAGTGCCTCCCTTGGGTGGCACGCCCCACCCTTATTCTCTTTCCTATTTTTTGGTGATATGATATGTGGCCATATAGTTGGAACATATTGACTAAATATTGACTTGATATATCTTTGAAAGATTTGGTGGAAAGATTGCATAGACTTGTGTTATTTATAGTATGCACAATATTTTGATTAGATTTAATTTATTTAATTTCTATTGATGGGAAAACGGTTTAATAAATGAGATAATGGTTAATGTTGATGGTTTATCTATAGAATAGATAGCTCAAATCTCTCACCCCACAAGCCACCTAAGATTAATGATTCATATTCAATCTCATAAGAAGAGACAAGCTAAGGAAAACCCTAAAAACCCTTAATCTTATTCAAAGCTTATAAAAAGAAATTATCTCTACCAAAAAATCTCTACACATTATCTCTTGTACCTAATTCCCATCTTTCTCTCTCATATCTCACAAAGGGGCACACCTCACTTAGAATTTATCTCTCTCGCTTAAGAAAAGCTTCTCTCTCATAAAAGCCAAAGGGGGCACACACCACTCTCTCATCTTTGATCGCTCTCTCCCACATTGTGAAAAAACCTAAGGGTTTAGGCTATAGAGTTATTCTCTCTCTTATCTCTCAACTATAGATTTATGGCAAGGGGTTTTAGTATTTTGCAAAAAGATAATACATCTCTCTCAAACTAGGTTACTAAGAAAATTCACTTAGGATTTGTTTTTGTGATCGAATGAGTTCATGTTCTACTGGAGTAGTGCGGCCTAAACTTACTTTTCGGGTTGAGATTGAAGGCTGATCATTGATCCCGCATTATCGAATGGTGGTGACTCGATGTGGGGTGTAATAAACCTGGTTGAGGTAATCTCCGGTACTCTTCATTTTGTTTATGATAATCTTATCTTTTATTCTCAAACATATTGCATAGCTATTTCAATGACATCAAATTGTTAAGATATTGGTTTTATTGTTATGTTGATTTTATTTTAAAATTTATATTATTGTACTAAAGACCACCTCTAAGTTATCTTTTACCAAAAGAAAGGGGTGAAGAAAAAAAAAAAAAAAAATGTATTCCCCGATAAAAGATCACATAAGTCTTTCTTTCATTGGTATCAAAGGTATTGATATTTGATGTCATTAATTGTCTTTTCTCTTTATTGAATTTAGATCAAGTTTAAAAATGAGACTAATTGTTTTATGAATATGTATGGAGTGTGCGGACATTAAGTGATAAGAGCTAACAAATTTGAAAGAATCGATTTTGAATACCTTGTGTTTTTGTGCTTCCTTGTGCTTGAGTATGAACTATTTAAGGTAGTGATACACATGGAGTGTTGATTTAATCAAGGGCTTAGAGCCCTAAGGATGAAACACG